TCGGCATGACAACCGACGACAAATAATGTATAATGTGTCGAGCTAAATCTAGTTCTGCATTGTTGTCAAAGGTTCGAATATTCTGAAGTATGGAACTCGCCAAATACATTATGTAGGCTATTTAGGTGAATTCTTCTTCCGTCGACAATATCATGCTAATGATCTAATAATTAAATTTGTCGAAATAATGGCTGAAATCTTTCCCACTTCTGATAATATCAATAAAGAAAATTGAAATAGAAAATGAATGCGTGGCCGCCGTTAGGCGGCCGGCTACACAAATCGAGTTTTTAAGCACAGCTGTTATACGCATTCATTGCCGGCCGCCTCGATGTATCTATAGAAACAATAAACAATCGGCGAGTCGTATACATACTGCAGATTTTTTGTCAACAATCGGCGAGTCGTATATATATAACAGGCACGTAAGTGTAGATAGAATTCATTGTAGTAACAGCGATATTTGTGATATTATATGGTACAACTTTGGAACCAAGTAAGGCATTGTGTTGAAATTTGGTTTATATGTATTTATGGACATTGAAGAACACATATTTACAATACAAAATAAAAATTTATTTCTCATAATTTTCTATGGTATGGTAAATTCTGAAACAATTCCCAATATACATAGCAGGTTGATTTATACATGTTTCACAATAAAATGTTGTTTGACGTCTTTCTCCTGGTGTTTTCCTGTCGGAACAAATAATGCAGTCCCGGTTTCTTTGGCCTACATTTGGAATATGTAGCTTATTATTCATTCTATTGTCCGACAAAGAATGTTAATTTATTTAGATTATAACGAAGATAGCAATAGGAATGGTTCGACTTTGAATGAAGTTTCGATTTTACGTTTATAGTTTTTTACGTTTACGTTTTATGTTCTTTATGTTAAATAATTTTAGTAAACATTAAATAATATAGTTTATATAGTTACGTTTATTGTCCACGTGTTTGAATCCGACCATACGCCTCTGACCATCCTCGACAATCCTTCCACTTCCAACGTAAAAACGGCTGATATATTTCTCATTTTAATAGAATATTTCCCATTTTAATAGGAAAGTACAGGAAAACATGTGTTTCTTAAAAAATTGCGGTGAAATCAGTTCATTCTTCTTAATCACTAATAAACTTTCATGTCCCCTCAGAGGGGACAACCGAGTGCAAAGGGTTAAAATATGTTCATAAAATATTATCGTTTTAAAACGTGTATTTCCGTAAAAACAAATTTTTGTAATTTTTTCTTCATTATGGTATATTGCTTATACATTGTATATGCCTACACAGGTCGGAAAGTCAAAAATGCCTAGGCAGTCGAGAATCTCGGCTCGAGAATATGCGAGATCGAATTTCAGCTGTGTTGAGAGCAAGAAGGATAGACTGACATTCGCCGCCTTTCTCGAATCTACGAAGCTATACGAAACGCCAGAACTCATATACAAGGTGGTTGGCATTAGTGTGTGTGAGTGGTGGGGCAGTTCCCTTTCGGCACGGGTCTGCCGTCTGATAATACTCCACTGTCTTTTCCAATCCCTCCCATAATCAACTCACATGTATTTACGTACACACTCAGCTGGCTGCCCATCAATACTAATTCAGTGCCTAGTTTCTCAGCTAACCGCCATCCATGAGAAGAGGCCGCTAAAATCAGCTACGAATTTTCAGGTCGGTATGACAGTCAGATTCGGCCGCGAAAGTCCATAAGGTGAAACGTCTATTCATATATCTCGTCTGTGCCCTAACTTCAACCCTTTAATCGGTAAAGTAGAGCTCAATCTCGCAACAGAAAACGCACCTGTCGCCACAGTACTCCCCCCCCCCAACAATTTAAAAAAATTTATTATACCCTATCTTACATTCCCCTATACACATTTACAACATATTATTTTGATACTATTCCACATTAAAGGTTACGGTTTTTTTTCTTGAATACGTCTTAGGTTTCTTCTCTATTCGTAGCTTCAAATTACCCTCTCGACTCGTCCCATCATTCTCAACAGAATCTTGATTAACCATAAAAGCCGGTTTCAATCTCTCAACCGAAACTGTTACTTCCTTCCCATTCACAAGAATGACAAATCTCCGATCATCCATCCTCTTAATTACCTGATGAGGTCCCGAATACGGTGGTCTTAACGGAGGACGTACCTCATCCAAACGTAGAAAAACGTGTGAACACTCGTACAAATTCTTGTGTGTGAACATCTTTGCTTTTCTATGATGCGCCACTGGTGTCGAACGTATTCCCTGAATTATTCTTCTATACTTTTCCAAAAATATTTCTGGATCAGGTTGCCCGTCCTCTTCCATGAAAAACTCGCCCGGTATCCTTAATGTCTCTCCAAAAACCATTTCCGCCGGGGATGCCTTGATATCGTCTTTATACGCAGTCCGAAGTCCTAATAACACCGCTGGCAAAGCTTCAATCCAAGGAATTTGTGGATTACACATTAATGCTGACTTCAAAGTGCGATGCCATCTCTCCACCATCCCGTTCGATGCAGGGTGGTAAGGTGATGTCCTAATCCGCTTTGCACTTATAGTTTTTGCCATCGCCGCGAATAACGCACTCTCAAACTGAGAACCCTGGTCAGTCGTTATTGTCTTTGGTGTTCCAAACAAACAAATCCAGTGCCCGAACAATGCTGCCGTGACAGTAGTTGCCTCAATATCCTGAAGTGGAATCGCCATCGGAAACCTAGAAAATCTATCTATTATCGTCAAACAATACTTATAACCCTTCACCAATGGCATATGAATTATGTCAACATGTATATGGTTAAATCTGCCATCCGGGATATCAATTTTTTTAGGCTCAAGTTTATTATGCCTGTGTACTTTTGCTCTCTGACAAGGAATACACTCACGGGTCCATTTAATCGCGTCCTTATTAATACCCGGCCACACGTATTTCTCCTTCAACTGCCTACTTGTAACTCTGCCACTCAGATGAGCCAATCCATGTACTATATTAAAAGCTGTACGTCGCAAAACTCTCGGAATATATGGACGAAAACGCCCCGTTGACACATCCACATAAATCATGTTATCCTCTACCATTATCTGCCGCAGGTCCATTGACGTTTCACCTTCTAATATCACTCTCAACTCTTTATCCTTTTCTTGTTCCAAATATATTGTCTGCGGGTGCAAAACAGAAGGCGTTTCAATTTGACAAATTCTTGACAATGCATCTGCCACAAAATTATTGTTTCCCTTAACATGCACAATTTCTGTAACGAACTGAGAAATGAAATCCAACTGTCTCAACTGCCGCGGCGAAGCTTTGTCCGTACGTTGTGCAAATGCAAATGTTAACGGTCTATGATCTGTCTTAACTACAAATTGTCGACCTTCCAAAATATGTTTAAAATACTTTATAGCTGCGAACACCGCGAGCAATTCCCTATCATAGGTACTATAATTTTGTTCTGTTTTACTCAATTTCCTTGAGAAAAAACCAACAGGCCTCCATTGATCGTTCTCCAACTGCTCCAAAACAGCCCCAATGGCCACGTTAGAAGCATCTGTAGTCAATGTCATCGGTGCCGACGAGGAAATATACGCAGTAAGAGTCGTGGCTGCTATCCGCTCCCTGCACTCTTCAAACGCCTGTGTTGCTTCCTCTGTCCACACTATTTTAGTTTTATCATTTTTCCTCGACTTCTTCAAGTACTGATTCAGTGGTACTTGAATTTCTACCAAATGTGGAATACAATGCCTATAATAATTCACCATCCCCAAAAAACGTTGAAGTTCAGCAATGACCTCAGGTTTTGGGAAATTCCTTATCACCTCAATACGCTCCTTCGGAGGCCGATACCCTTCTTTTGTAATGTAATAACCCAAAAAATCCATCTCCGTCTTACCAAAACTACATTTCGCCAATTTAATAGTAAGCTTACTGTCTTTAAGCCTATGGAAAACCTCCTTCAAATGCATCTGATGTTGCTCTGCATTTTCCGACATAATTAAAATATCATCAACATAACAAAATACATATTCCAATCCTCGAAAAATGGAATCCAAATACCGTTGACACGTTTGTGCTGCATTCCGAAGCCCGAAAGGCATTGTAACATACTCAAATAACCCAAACGGTGTGGTAATTGCTGTCTTTTTAATATCCTCCGAGTTCATTGGTATTTGGTGATATGCTCGAGCCAAGTCTAATTTTGTAAAAATCTTCTTTCCATGAATCCTCTCAAACATATCATGCATAAAAGGCGGTGGATATCTGTCAGGAATTGTTTGGGCATTCAGCTTCCTGAAATCCCCGCATGTCCTCCATCCACCCTCCTTTTTCCTAACCAAATGAATAGGACTGGCCCATGGACTGCTAGATGGTCGTATAATCCCCTGTTCCAAAAGAAAGTCAATTTCAGTCCTTGCTGCAGACAATTTTTCTCCTGACAATCTTCGAGGTCGATCTGCCACCGGTTGTCCTGTTGTAAATATATAATGAGCTATCGGAAAATTTGATGTTGTTGACACATAATTTTTTGGTTGAGTTATTTCGATATATTGATTTAATATGTTATGATAATCCATTTGAATGTTAACAGTTGAAACGCCTACAATATCCACTGACTGCAGCTCCCCTTGTACAGCAAGTAACGTTAACGGGTCTTGTAACTTTCTATTTTTTAAATCAATCACTAATCCAAAATGAACCAAAAAATCCGCTCCTAATATCGCTGACGACACTTCTGCTATAATGAAAGACCATTTAAATGCACGACGTAAACCCAAATCCAAATGCATAATTCTACTACCACACGTATTAATCATAGAACCGTTAGCAGCAAATAATTTGAAATCAGTTGATTCATTCTTCTTAATCACAAACCGTTGAGGTAATACTGATACAATTGATCCAGAATCTACAAGAAATTTCGTATTTGTCTCCCTATCAAAAACATGGAGTCGCAGTTCTTTTTGAGGCTTATAATAAGCGTTGCTGCCGAGCCCTGCCTCCGTGACCGACAACTGTTTCAGTTTTCCTGCCTGTTAGTAACAAAGGCACACGGTGCGATGCATCGATAGGCTTTTCCTCCAAATTTCTTATGGTAGAAACAAATTTGTGATCGCATGGGCGTGTTAGAACGAGATCTTGACCGATAATTATATTTCATTCCTGACCGAATCTCCTCTAATGTCGCCTTAACTTCTCGTACAAACGCCATAAAATTTTTCTCGAGATCCTCTACTTTCTTCTCCAAACCGTCATTCACCCCATGTTTTGTGCCAACCGCCATTACACAGCCATTCGCTGTATTCTCCAATATATTATCAGCTATCTCTGCCAACGTATTCAAATCGGATTTCGCAGATACCGAAAGGATTCCTCTCACATATCCAGGTAATCTACTTAACCACAAGGAACGCAAAAATTCATCTCCCACAACACCTGCTGCATGCTCTCTCATCTCTCGTAATAAATGAGAAAGTTTCTTATCCGCCAAACTCAGCTCGTTCAATAACCTCTGAAGTTGCTTTTCTCTAGAATCCGAAAGTCTCTTAATCAAATTCTCTTTTAAGAATTCATACTTATCTGATTCCGGCGGAATTCGAACAATATCAGAAATACACTGCAACGTCTCCGAATCTAAATTACTGATTACAGTGTCAAATTTTGTCTGATCACTTCTGATCCCTTTTGCTCTAAATTTTGCTTCGGCTTGCAGAAACCATAAATCTGGTTGTCCTTTCCAAAAGGGCGGCAATTTGGTATCACTCACGGCCGCTATCACATTAGATCGGTTTTCAATATTACACTCTTCCTTGCTTGAACTTTCCAAATTATCGAAATTCTTCTCTGTCGCCTCTACTCTAGTAGGTGAATGAAACATTTTACTTTTTTTTAAATTTGAATTTTACACAGAATCTCTCCTTTGAGCACGTCGGGGTCACCAATTGTAGCCGTAATAAATTAGAACATATGTACGACTCTTTTGAATATCTGGAGAACTCTGAGTTTATTCTTATAACTGTTTAAACAAACTCCTCACCGTCTCCTAGCGATCAAAAACAAAAAACATTAACATTAACTTTTTCTTATAACAACCCTAACTTCAACCCTTTAATCGGTAAAGTAGAGCTCAATCTCGCAACAGAAAACGCACCTGTCGCCACAGGCTGTGAAGGTGAAACCATACCAAAGTGAAGCGTTAGCTTCGATATATAGGCCCGTCGCCCCCCACCCCGAGAAAGCATGATGCTGACATTGCTGACAACCTAACCCATACTTCGATTCTGCGGCTGTATTTCGTTCATTTTTTCCTCGACTTTCGACGTTTATATTAATAAATGTGAACAGACTCTCGTTCGATTTTGACCAGAGCGCACTGCATTGGACCTTCCTCTTTCGAATGAGACCTCATTCGACCCAAAAGCTGCTCATATAAGGGCAAAATCTCTTATTTCGACATAATTGAGTACATGGAAATCAACAGTAATGACGGCGAACTTCCTTAGCGTCTAACGTAGTGAAATAAAGAACGCTAGTGTGAGCCTTTCCTTCTTGCTCTTGTAAAAGAGAAACAACTGAAATACGACCTCGCGATAAGCGGTATACGATTCCAAGCCTCGACTGCCCCAGCATTTTTACTTTCCGACCTATGTAAGGTATAAGGAAATTTATGAAGTATCATAATGTAAAAAAATGTCGAAATTTTTTTTTAGCGGAAATACACGTTTTAGGACCCCCTGATCATATTGTGACTATTAAAAAAAAAGACTTTTTTTTTGTTCCTATTACATATAAACGGCTGAATGAATTTCAATGAAACTTTACATTTCAGTTTTATGTTCTCGTTTCAAGGTCTGATTAGATTTTGAGCGTGATCAGCCCCCGGATAATGATGATTATACGACTTTTAGTTTTATAATTATTTCGATACATATACATTATTTGTAACAAATTTTGGCAATTATTTAGAAAAGGGGGAGGTCTCACCGATTTTGATGATTTTTGAATATGTTGTAAAAATCAACATTTTGAACAACTTTTTCCTATACATATAACCACCGCTTGGCCTTATTTTTCGAGATTTTTCTTCAAAAAGATTGCTGCTACTGCAATGAATTTTGTCTATATGTACATGTCCGTGACTCTGTATGCGTCAGTCCACGACTTTTTTCCTCGACTTTCGACGTTTATATTAATAAATGTGAACAGAATCTCGTTCGATTTTGACCAGAGCGCACTGCATTGGACCTTCCTCTTTCGAATGAGACCTCATCCGACCGAAAAGCTGCTCATCTAAGGACAAAATTTCTTGTTTCGAGAACCCACATTTCGGGCCGAATTGTGTCGGTATACCGCGCGCTGCATTGCTCGTGCCTGCCTATCTCCCTCGGTGTCTTTCAATCATCGATTCATTTTTGCTCATTTATTATTGACAATAAATCCAACATAGAGTCTCCCACGAAGCGGGATCTATGCAGGTGATTCAGTATTGGAATCGTACAACTCTTTTCGACAAACTGTCGCTAAATATCTCGACCCGGAAAAGTCTTTCTTTTGTAACGAATTGGAAAGTTTATTTTACGGCTGGAAAGGATGTTCTATCGCTATTAAAATTGCACGTGAAGAAAATGTGTCGTCCACTTGTAAAAGAAACTCTATGCCTGCACCGTGTTCCTCACTTTGTCCTTCGGTGACAAACAGCAAAGGCCCTTAGACTCGTTGGACCCGCTAAGGTTTCTCTTTATGCAGCCAAAGACAGTGTGTCTCAATCATCGATTCGTTTTTGCTCATTTATTATTTACAGTAAATCCAACACATACTCTCCCACGAAGCGCGTATATAAATGAAGAAGACTTTCGCGGCAATATTTTATTTTAATCAACATGCAACCCCACTCTAAAATCTTCCACAATAATGTTTCCAAAAAAACTTGATTACTATGCATTCATTTGAAAATTCTACTGTACAAAATAAAGTAACATTTATTTTCGTGAATAATGTAGGGTATGAAATTGTAGACAATAATGTAGCGAAAGGCTGCAACACATACTTTGAATATTCGCGCAAGTAGAGAGGTAACGCGTGCGCGCTCTAGCCGGATTGGAAACATTTGAAAACCTGGAAAGTATTGTCAGACTCCAAACTCGCAAAACTATTGGCCGATTCAAAACTTGATCGATTCCGAGATCCATATGGAATCGATAACTTTCTGTAGTAATTTGTGCTTGACGATTATTAAATATTAAATGTGGGTAATTATTTAGATTACGGACGGTAACACCGATTTCGGTGATTTTTGAATATGTTATAGAAATCAACATTTTGAACAACTTTTTCCTATACATATAACCACCGCTTGGCCTTATTTTTCGAGATTTTTCTTCAAAAAGATTGCTGCTACTGCAATGAATTTTGTCTATATGTACATGTCCGTGACTCTGTATGCGTCAGTCCACGATCGCCGATTTTTTCTCTTGTTTGTGACAAGAAATAATGCATAATGTGTGAAGCTAAATCTAGTTCTGTATTGCTGTCAAAGGTTCGAATATTCCGAAGTATGGAACTCGCCAAATACATTATGTAGGCTATTTAGCTGAATTCTTCTTCCATCGACAATATGATTTTAATGATCGAATAATGAAATGTTTCCCACTTCTGATAATATCAATAGAGAAAATTGAAATAGAAAATGAATACGTGGCCGACCGCCTTACGGCGGCCGGTATAAGAAAATCTAACCCAGACCTAATCCATTATATTAGTTACTAGGTAGAATAATTAGGTTTATAAGGGTTAGATGTTTTTATGCCGGCTGCCGTTAGGCACACCCATTGTCGGCCGCCTCGATGCATCTATAGAAACAATGAACAATCGGTGATTGAACGCTTACACACACGCTGCCACAGCATGTACTTACGTATAGATACAATTCATGTAGTAGCAGCGATCTTTTTGAAGAGAAATCTCGGAAACTAAGGCCGAGCGGCGGTTATATGTATAGGAAGAAGTTGTTCAAAATGTTGATTTTTACAACATATTCAAAAATCATCGAATTCGGTGAGACCCCACCTTTTCTGAATAATTACCAATGTAATAAAAATTACTCTTGTGGTTTATACCACTTGAATGTAAAAAGCAATACAGTATTTTCTCTATAGAAGTGATACTCTCGGGGCTCAATGCTCGGCTGTAGCGTGGACGAGAAACGATTCTTGATACTTTGTTGACGCTTACTGGAGGCGGCGAGTGTAGAAAAGAACAGCGAGCATATGACAAAGAGGGACTGAGCGCTCGAGGATCGTCGACTTTGATATCGTTTCTTTCGCTTCGGGTCGGCTGTGGCAAAACACAGGCGATGTTTACGGTAGCCTATACGATATCGGTGTTCTAATTCCAACCTCTACCTCTCTTGGCAGAGGTCGCAGAATGAAATACTGATTCTGTATAGGCTCCCGTAAACATCGCCTGTGTTTCGATACAGCCGATGTGGAGTGACCTGAGCGATGCATGCCTTTGATCGCTTATTGCGTTAGTAAATAGGATCTGAATTGTACATATATTGTATTTGGTGTCATTTTAATAAGAAAAGTGTTACGAATATGTTGATGAAGTTTGAGAAAAGGAATAAAAAATAAAAATAAATTTCGTTGTTGATTTAATATTGTATATGTACTGGTTAAATCGCGTCATGACTTCAGTATGTACATTTTAAAGAAAGGACAAATATAGCATACGAAGTCTCCATCGCATCACTGTCCTCAATCGCTCTCCTATTTAGCTCACTTTTTCCTGTCTCCTCTTATGATACTCGACATTTCTTTGTTCTTTACTCCTATTTTCGTTAACGCGCCCATCTTTCACTCTCTCTCGTGTACATCTTTGCTTTCGTATGCTCGGACTTGACAGCTTTTTATTAGGAAAACACAAACAGAACAGGAAAGTTATGCACTTATCCTAACATAAATGAACGCCTGATACACAAAGTACTTATCGAACGCACATTATAATACATAAGATTATATCAAGGTTATGTTATGTGGGATTTAGAAATAAGGAACGTGGTGATAAAAATATTTTATTTCGCCGGTAATCGATACAACTGAAACTCGTGTTCGCGCTCTATATACACTCTTTTGAAGACTCTTGTTTTCGTCAGCTGTTACGCTGCTTATATACTATTGTCGACCTGCTCGCGGGTTATCGCACCTTCACTCTGTCACACTCACTCACTCGCATTCTCTCTCTCACACTCATCCTTGCGGCCGTTCACTTGTCATATTTTGACGCGCGCTTTGTTATTCGGAGCGTCTCGTAACAATGAGTGTCCCGGACAAAAACGCGTGAGCACCCAAAACCTTTGCCTACTTTTATACGAGTTCATCGATCGCTCTAGCAATTATTTTATTCCTACAGTTATGATACCTTCTCTGGACCACACCTCTTGAAATAACGTGCTGTACGTCTTGCTTTCATCTGTAAAAAGAAATGTAGCATACAGGAACGAAAATAAAAGAAAAGACAAGTTTTATAGTAGACAACGATAAATTTGTTTATTTTAATATTTCGCAGTGACTCGGTTTACGGATCCTTCTTGCACGGGCCTCGTACATTAACTCGAGTCCTGGCCGCGCGCGTCGGAATCGCGTCGCTCTTCGCGACACTCACACACACACACACAGACACACATGCCCCTTCCACTCATACCCTGCCTGACATACAACAGAAAGAAATGTAATAAAAATTAGTCTTGTGGTGTATACCACTTGAATGTAGAAAGCAATACTTACATCTTCTGAAGAATGTATTATGACTGTTTCTCATATATATTTTCTTGCAACGGTACTGGCCCCTTTCAGTTGCAATTACTACTAATAGAACCTGTGACAGAAAGTTAGAACAAATTGTAATAATTTGGTATACAATACAAATTTAAATGTATTTTTTTTTTTTTTTTGTACGTGGGGAAATCCTCATGGACACCCCGAGGCCCCAAGTAGGGGGGACTTTTCCTTGAGAGGGGTCGTGCGTTGACGAAACGCATGTGGTCCGTCTTAGCCACTCGCTTCCTCCGATTTCCTAACATTCGGCCAGACTGACTCAGGTCT